GTGCGTTCCCGCAGGAAATGACCCCTGGTTGCATGTTGTCTCTTAAAGTTTCAGACGGGGTGGTGGCAGTTGCCATCAGAGGGGTCAGTGCGACCCAAGCTTGCTGCATCTTGGAGCCACACCCTTGATGCTGACTTCCTTGCCAGCACAAATGATGTGAAACGCAGCTGTCGCTCCCCCTAGAACGTCCTTCGGTTCAGCTCCAAATTCCCATAAAATTTGCACCCGAGGATGGAATTAGAACTTCCTTCTATTGTCCCGACTGTGTGTCCCACAGCCCCGAACTGACGCACGTTGCTGGTGTCGAGCGGGATTTCCAAGGTGGGCAATTGTTCCTTCAGCGGAGAAGCGATCGGTGGCCAGAGGGCCCCTCTGGCGGATGCCCTGTAAAACGGGCACTTGCTCCAGCTTTTCGGGAGGGCCTTAATGAAATTAAAAGTTAATTATTAAGATAGTTATGGCCGCAATGTTCCCTCTAAGCTGCGGAGTCTCGTGAGCAAAAAGTCTACTTTATGAGCTACTGGCATTGAAGTTGTGAGCCAGTGATTTGGCTGCTGCATAAATTAGCTTGCTCTGGAGCCACATCCTTCCTGAGCGAAGACAAAAATCTGTGAGCCGGATGCTAAAAAACTGAGCTAGCTCACACTAACTCAACTTAGAGGGAACACTGGTTATGGGCATTGACTTTTTTTAAAAAAATAATCTCTTAGAATACCGTTTCACCAGTGGCTGCAGCCGCCTAGATGCTATCCACATATTTTTTCGTTTTGGTGAAACAAAAACCAGCCAAGATTATTCTTTGGTCGTCTTCTTGGAAACAGAGCTTTTTTTAAAAAAATACAGGTTCTAATATTTGACTTTCTGGAGAGGATAGTCTGCTCAAATCCAACTTCAAGCACACAGAATTCCCCCAGAGTCCTTTTGACTTAACCATTGTAAATATATAAAACCGTGTGGTTTTTCCCCCCTTTAAAACTCCAAAAAAGGAGAAAATGATAAAAAGGGTTTGCAGTCTGTATCAAATTAAAAGCAGACCCCAGTTGACACTGGCTTGTATCCTCCTGCTCTGCTCAGCCAAGTTTGAATCTTTCCCCAGAACACATGAAGCGGCTTTATACTGAATCTGACCCTGAGTCCATCAAACTCAGTATTGTCTACTCAGACTGGCAGCAGCTCTCCAGGGTCTCAGGGAGAGGTCTTTCCCATCACTCATTGCCTGGGCCTTTTAAGTGGAGATGCTGCCAAGCATTGAACCTGGAACCTTCTGCATGCCAAGCAGATGTTCTACCACTGAGCCACGGCCCCTTCCCAAGAAAAGTCTCCTTAAGATGGAATACACCTTCAGACCTGGTTGAGCGGAGTGGTAAAGATACAGGCTGCCTCGATCCTTTCTGGAAGGGACCTTTGTTTGGTGTAGTGGTTAAGTGCGCGGACTCTAATCTGGGAGAACCGGGTTTGATTCCCCACTCCTCCACTTGGACCTGCTGGATGACCTTGGGCAAGCCATAATTCTGACCAGGGGTCATTTCACAGAAAAAGAGGTGCAGAAGCTCATTAGCAAAACGTATTAGCATAACTTACTTGCATATGCCACACCCCCTGACATCACCGGAAGTGTGTCAGAAGGCAACACCCACCGCTCAGGCTCCACTGGACTGTTTTGAATTGCTAGCTATTGGGGGGGGGGACGTGCAGATCTGCCATCGCAGAGGAGGGAGAGCTTGTACCTGAATAAAACTTGGTCTTAAAGGTGCCACTGGACTGTTTTGGATTGCTAGCTATTGGGGGGGGGGCATGCAGATCTGTCCTCACAGAGGAAGGAGAGCTTGTACCTGAATAAAACTTGGTCTTAAAGGTGCCACTGGACTGTTTTGGACCAGGGG